AAAAAAAAAAAAAAAGAATATATGTGTCATATGTATCCCTTTATATGTAAGATATTTTACAATAAAAAAAAACTTAAAAAGGAAAAAAGGCCAAACATAACATGTACTCAGCTCTTGCCATAAGGCCATGTGAACATATGTTAGCCTTGTTATTCAGAAGACTATAAAATGCTTCAAAGCTGATAGAGCTAATTCTCACAAACACAGGATTAATCTAAAATCAGACTCCTGGGGCACCTGGCTGGCTCAGTCGGAGGAGGGTGCGACTCTTGATCTTGGGGTCATGAGTTTGAGCCCCACACTGGGTGTTAGCGATTACTAACAAAAATAAACTTTTAAAAATAAAATAAAATCTGACTCTTAATTTAACTGATACTCACGTAGCAACTTTTTTTTTTAAAGATTTTATTTATTTATTTAATTGACAGAGAGAGAGAGAGAGCGTGAGAGGGAACACAAGCAGGGGGAGTGGGAGAGGGAGAAGCAGGCTTCCCGCTGAGCACGGAGCCCAATGTGGGGCTCGATCCCAGAACTCTGGGACCATGACCTGAGCCGAAGGCAGTCGCTTAACCAACTGAGCCACCCAGGTGCCCCTCACCTAGCAACTTTTAACATTTTACTTCACTACCTTATAATATAGCATTTCCATCTGTATTGCTTTTCTATGGCTCTTTAGAGTGAAAAGCAAATGGACTAAGGAAAAGACATGTTTTGAACACAGGAATACATAGACTATACTGCTAAAAAGAAAAAACCAAAATGGATACACAAGTATTATGATCACTTTTTCCCCCAATTCCCAACAACTGCAACAGAATTTCTAGAAAAATCAAATCACCTAGTTGTTCTAATTTCCTTAGCCTAACAACAAGCAATTTATAGTCTCAAGAGAGTAACCATCAGGAGTAAGGGAAAAATGATAAACATTCATTCAGAAGGGACAGAAGCCACTGACACTGACATCAGCAAGATGGCAGAATAGGAGTTTCCAGCACAAGTCTTCTCACAGAACCATCAATTTGAATAACCACCCATGCACGAGAGAGAAGGAATCCATGTCCAAGATTACGGCACCTGGGTGTTATACAGAAATAAGAAAGGATGCATTGAAAGAGAATAGGAAGGACAGTTTCACATGACCCACATTACTTTTCCTGCGAGCATGGAGAGAGATGCTTCACTTGGGGGGAAGGACAGTAAAGTAAACACTCATTATGCCACAGAATCCAGCACCAGGCTGGTCCCCATGGCCCCAACCCACTCCTATGGGCCCAAGCTCCAGGACCACCCCCAGTGGACCCCAGCACCAGGCCTGCCCCAGTAGACACAGGCACCTGGCCAGGCTACCCAAGTGGACCCTGGTGCCGGGCCCACTTCCATGAACCCAGGCAGTAGGCCCACATACCCATGGACCTAGCAGCCAAGCCAGTCTGCCCAAGCACTCCAGCAGCAAGCCCATCAAAGGAACAAAATAAAGCACCAATAACTGACCTTAAAGAAATGGAGATCTATGAAATGCATGACAAAGAATTCAAAATAATCATTTGGAAGTTCACTGAGCTATAAAAGAGAACAGACAACTCAACAAAATGAGAAAAGTAATATATGAATAAAAATGAGAAGTTCGGGGCACCTGGCTGGCTCAGTTGGTAGAGCATGAGACTCTTGATCTCAGGTTCGTGAGTTCAAGCCCAACATTGGGCATGGAGGCTACTTAAAAAAAAAAAAAGAGAGAAGCTCAACAAAGAGAAGCCATAAAAAGTTTTTATGCTACGAGCTAAAGAACACAATGACTGATGTGAAAAATTCCGAGATCTTTAACAGCAGACTTGATCAAGCAGAAGAATCAGAGAACCTGAAGGCAGGTAATTTGAAGTTACCCAATGAGAACAAAAAGAAAAAAAGAGTAAAGAGAGACTACATAACTTATAAGACATCATTAAAGGAAGCAAGTACATGCATTATGGCAGTCCAAAAAGGAGCAGAGAAAGACAAACAGCAAGCTTATTTATAAAGAAATAATACAGAAAAACCCTAAATCTAGAAAGGGAAATGAACATCTAGATCCATTAAGCTTGGGAACCCCAAACAGATTAAACATAAAGAGAGCTTCACCAAGACACATTGTAATCAAATTGACAAAAAGTCAAAGAGAATTCTGAAAGCAGCAAGAGGAAAGCCAATAGTCGCAAACAAGGGAAACCCCATAAGACTAAATTTCTTAGCCTTGGCAGAAACTCTGTATGCCAGTACAGAGTGGAATGATATTCAAAGTACTGAAAGAAAAAAACTGCCACCAATACTATACCCAGCAAAACTGTCCCATCAGACATAAAGGAGAAAAAATTTCCCAGACACACAAAATCTGAGGGAATTCATAACCACTAGACCTGCCTTGCAAGAAATGCTAAAGGCAGTTCTTCAAGGTGAGACAAAAGGACACTAACTAACAACATGAAAACATATGAAAGTATAAAACTCACTATAACAGTAAGAGTATATTCAAATTCAGAATACTCTAATACTCTAATGGTGACACATAAATCACTTAACCCTAGCATAAAAGCTACAGATGAAAGTATTAAAGATAACTATGACTACAATAATTTATTAATGGATATACAATATAAAAATGTGAATTGTAGATAAAAATGTGAATTGTGGAATCAATAGTATAAATGAAGGGGACAAAGTTAATGTGTACAATTTTTGTATGCAGTGGAAGCTGTTATCAGCTTAAAATAAGATTACCAATACTATGTTTTACAAAATTCTCATTGTAATCACAAAGAAAAAACCTATAGTAGATACACAAAATAAAAAGAAAAAAATCAGAGAATAACACCACAAACAAATCATTAAAGAAAGAGAAGAAAGGGACAAAGGAATTATAAAACAGAAGACAATCAACAAAACAGAATAAGTCCTTACCTATCAGTAATTACTTTAAATGTAAATGGTTTAAATTCTCTAATCAAAACAGAGTGGATGAATATATTAAAAAAACAAGATTGAACTATATGCTGTCTCCAGGAGATACACTTTATATTTAAGTTCTAAGTAAAGGGATAGAAAAAGATATTCCATGCAAATGATAACCAAAAGGGCAAGGCTGGCTATACCTATTTCATCAAAACAGACTTTAAGTCAAAAATTGTCACAGGAGACAAAGAAAGTCATTATATAATAATAAAGGGGTCAATTCATCAAGAGGATATAATAATTGTAACCATATATGCACCTAACATTAGTGAATCTAAATACATACAGCAAATATTAATAGAACTAAAGAGAGAAATAGATATCAATACAATAATAGCAGGGGATTTCAATACCACACTTCCAACAATGAACAGATCATCTAGACAAAAAAATCAATAAGAAAACAACATATTTGAACAAGACTATACATAAAATATTCCTAACAGACAAATACAGAACACTCCATCCAACAATTGCAGAATGCATTCTTTTTAAGTGTACATAGAAGTCTCCAGGATAGATAACATGTTAGGCCACAAAACAAGTCAACAAATTTAAGAAGACTGAAATGACATCATGTATCTTTTCTGACCACAATGGTATGAACCTAGAAATCAGTAACAGAAGGAATACTGGAAAATTCACAAATATGTGGGGAGTAAATAACACATTTCTGAACAACTAATAGGTCAAGGAAGAATCCAAAAGCAAATAAAAAAATATTGAAACAAATGAAAATGGAAACCCAACACACCAAAACTTACAGGATGCAGCAAAATGCAGTTCTGAGAGGGAAATTTATAGCAATACATATCTATTCTAAGAAAAAAGAAAGATCTCAGATAAACAACCTAACTTGACACCTCCAGGAACTAGAAAAAGAACAAACTAACCCGAAAGCTAGCATAAGGAAGGAAAAAATAAACATCAGAGCAGAAACAAATGAAATACAGACTAGAAAATATCAATGAAACGAAGAGTTGTTTTTTTGAAAGATAAACAAAATGGACAAACCTTTAGCAAGGAGAAAGAGAGAAGACTAAAATTAACAAAATCAGAAATGAAAGGGGTAACATATCACAGAAATACAAAGGATAAGAGACTATTATTAACAAATTAGACAACCTAGAAGAAATGGATAAATTCCTAGAAACACACAACATACTAAAACTGAATCTTGAAAAAATAGAAAATCTGAACAGACCAATAACGAGGAAGGAGACTGAATCAGTAATCAAAAACCACCAGCAAAGAAAAACCCAGGACCAGATGGCTCACTGGTGAATTCTACCAAACATTTAAAGAATCAACCCCAATTCTTCTCAAACTCTTCCTAATTAAAGAGGAGGTAACACTCCCAAACTCTTTTTACAAGGCCAGCATTACTCTGATATCCAAGCCAGACAAGGATACTACAAGAAATGTATAGGCCAATATACCTAATGAACACAGATATAAAAATCCTCAATAAAATACTGGCAAACCAAATCCAAAAGTACATATTAAATGGATTGTACACTATGATCAAATGGGATTTACTCAAGATGCAAAGATAGTTCAACATACACAAACCAATAGAAGTGATACACCACATTAACAGGATGAAGGATAAAAATCGTAATGATCATCTCAATAAAGAAAAATCACTTGACAAAAATCAACATCCTTTCACGATTAAAACTCAACAATATAGGCACAGAAGGAATTTAGCTCAAAATAATAAGGGCCATATATAACAAGCCCACAGAAAATACCATATTCAACAGTGAAAAGCTAAAAGCTTTTCCTCTAAGATCAAAACAAGGATGCCCACTCTCACCACGTCTATTCAGCATAGCACTGGAAGTCCTAGACAGAGCAATTAGGCAAAGAAAGAAACAAAAAGCATGAAAATCCCAAAAGAAGTAAGATTATCTCTGTTCACAGATGACTTAATCTTATGTATATAAATCCCTAAAGACACCACCAAAAAAACCACAACTACTAAACAAATTTAGTAAAGTTGCAGGATACAAAATCAACATACAAAAATCAGTTATGTTTCTATACACTACTAATGAACTATCAGAGAAATTAAGAATTACCAATCCCATTCACAGTAGCATCAAAAATAAAATACTTAAGCATAAATGTAATGAAGTAGGCAAAAGATCTATACACTGAAAACTATAAGACATTCGTAAAGAAATTGAAGACATGAATAAAGGAAAAGATATCCCTTGTTCTGTATTGCAATAATTAAATACTGTTTAAAATGTCAGTATGATGCAAAGCCCTCTACAGATTCAATGCAATACCTATCAATATTCCAATAGAATTTTTTGCAAAAATAGAAGAAACAATGATAGAATTCATATGGAACCACAAAAAGACCCATAATAGCCAAAGTAATCTTGAGTAAAAACAAAAAAGCCAGAGGCATCACACTTCCAGATTTCAAATTATATAACAAAGCTACTGTAACCAAAACAGTATGAAACTGACATAAGAAGACACATAGACCAATAGAATGAAGTAGAGGGGCAAGAAATAAACCCACGCATACAGTCAATTAACCTTTTATAAGAATGACAATATACAATGGGATTGTCTCTTCAATAAATGGTGCCAGGAAAACTGGATATCTACATGCAAAATAAAATTAGACATTTATCTTCTACCATACACAAAAATCAGCTCAAAATTTATTAAAGACTTACACGTAAGACCTGAAGCCATAAAAATCAAAGAAGAAAACACCAGGGGAAAAGCTCAGTGACCTGGGTTGTGGCAATGAGTTTTTGGATATGACACCAAAAGCACAGACAACAAAAGGAAACATAAATGTGATTGCTAAATTAAGTAACTTATGCAGAGCAAAGGAAACAATCAGTAAAACAATAAGGTAACCTGGAACTGGAGAAAATACCTGCAAACCATATATCGGATAAGGATTAATATCCAAAATATATAAGGAACTCCTACAAGTCAATAACAAAGAAACAATCCAATTGAAAAATGGACAAAGGACAGACATTTCTCCAAAGAGGACACACAAATAGCCAGTAAGTACATGAAAAGGTACTCAACATAACTAATCATCAGGGAAATGCAAATCAAAACCACCATGAGATATCACCTCACACCTGAGATAATGACTAATATTAAAACAAAACAAACAAGTTAAGTTGTGGAGATGCAGACAAAAGGCAATCCTGGTACACTGTTGGTGGGAATGTAAATTGGTACATCCGCTATGGAAAACAGCATGAAGATTCCTCAAAAAATTACAAATAAAACTACTACTATATGATCCAGCAATTCCACTTCTGGGTATTTATCCAAAGGAATTAAAATCAGGATCTTGAAGAGGTACTTGCACTCCCATGTTCACTGTAGCATTATTACAATAGCCAATATATGGAAGCAACCTAAATGTCCACCAAAGGATGAATGGATAAAGAAAATGTGGAACATACATACAGTGGGATATGATTCAGCCCTGAAAAAGAAGGAAATCGTACTATTTACAACAACATGGATGAACCTAGAGGACATTATGCTAAGTGATATAACAGACACAGTAAGACAAATAATATATGATCATACTTATATGTGGAATCTAAAACAAACACATAGAAGCAGAGTAGAATGGTGGTTACTGGGGTGGGGGGAGGGAGAAATGGGGAGCCTTTGACCATTAGGTCAAAGGTTATAAAGTTTCAGTTATGCAGGGGCGTCTGGGTGGCTCAGTTCGTTCGTTAAGCGTCTGCCTTCGGCTAAGGTCATGATCCCAGCCCATGTCAGGTTCCCTGCTCATGGAGGGAGAGGAGCCTGCTTCTCCCTCTCCCTCTCTCTCTCCCCCCAACTTATACTCACATATCTCTCTCTCTCTCAAATAAATAAAATCTTTTTTTAAAAAAAGTTTCAGTTATGCAAATAAGTATGTACTAGAGATCTACTATACAGCATAGTGTCTATAAGCTAACAATACTGCCTTGTATACTTAGAATCTTAAGTATTCTCATGAAACGTTCTCTTTTTTTCTCTTTCTCTCTCTCATTCTCACACAAACACACACAAATAATAAAGGGAGCAGGAGGAAACTCTGGAAAGTAATGGATATTTTTATGGCCTTGATGCTGGTGATGCTTTCAAAGTTGGATACTTATCCCTAAATGCATGGGGTTGTACACATTAAATATGCACAGCTTTTTACATATCAATTACCCCTCCATAAAGGGGTTTAAAAAATCTCTTTTGATATTCAACTTGAAAGCATGAGGTCTTTGATAAATCTGATTGAACAGCTAACTTTACTCTTCTATTCATATATTAAAAAGTTTAAAGCATATGGACTTAAATATGTCATTCTCAATTAGAAGAAAAAAAAAAAAAAAGAAACCACAGAAAATGACAGACCAGGCCTGGTAGAATTTTTCTGTAAAGAGTCATACATTAAATGTTTTGGGCTTATGGGTGACATTTAGTTTCTGTCACATATTTTTTACTTTTCTTATTTTTTTACCTGCCCTTTAAAAATGTAAAACTATTTCTTGTTTGCACACCCTGAGCAGGAGTATTCTTAAGTATTCTCATGAAACCCTAAGCTCCTGAGTATAGGAACCACATCACATTTCCCCCTATAGCCACATCCTGAATGCAGGGCTTGCCATATACTAGATGAATTATAGGTACTTGTTAAATGTATAAAACAGTAAGTAAATCCTAGTGGTGAAAAAAATGTGCTCAAAGTTGAATTATTTTTTTTTAAGATTTTATTTATTTATTTGAGAGAGAGCACGAGCAGAGGGCAGGGCAGAGGGAGAAGCCGACTCCCCGCTGATCAGGGAGCTGGACATGGGGCTCAATCCTGGGACTCCAGGATCATGACCTGAGCCAAAGGCAGACACTTAACTGAGCCACCCAGGTGCCCCTCAAAGTTGTATTTATACAATTTTTCCTCATCAGATTCTTTTCTTTAATAATAATTTTTTAAAAAGTCTACACAACAGCAACAAGAAAACCTAACTTGCTTCATTATAATGTTGATGGTAGCTCCTGGGTAAACAAGTTTTAGCTAGCTCTTACAAACTGGCAGAGGACAGACATGCTAGATTTCTTAAAACTCAAAAGGCTATAGCTCACTTTACAAATTTTTAAACACTAAAATCAAGCTAAATAATATTGCAATGTAGCTGGAAAATAATAAAAATAAGCTATAAAATAGTATAATAGGTTTTTAAATTTTTCTAAAGAGTTCCTTTCTTATTCTGTCAACAAAAATTTCCATGGCTTTCAAATGTTTTAGTTTCTAAAACCTTTCATATCTACTACAAATGAACTAGAAATAGTGGGAAAATGAATTGAGCTTATGGTCTCAATAAACCTGAGATCTTCTTTCCACAAATTTTTAAAATATCCATAAACATCCCACTGATGCTTTTTAGAATTCCACTAATTCTTTTGTCAATTATTTAACAAATATATTTCACACTATTTGGGCTATGGTAATCATACACAACCAAAGACCTTAAGCAGTATATTCATATTTCCTAAGTTTTAAGATATACATTAATCAATATGATTTATTCATACTCACAGTTCTTTCTCAAGCTGCTGTTGAATTAACTTTGCGGATTTTGCCATTGTAATGTCTGTAAAGAAATGAAGACACTGTTATAGTTTAAACCAGAAAGGGTCTTTTCCCAAGACTTCTTGCACATATGGAGGGCAGCCCTGTCAGGACCCCTCTCACTCTTGAGAGCTTTTTCTGTATCTTCACTTAATAAACTTCTAACACTTTACTCACACACACACACACAAAAGACTTCTTGCACATACGGAAAATTCCAATTTAAACCAATAAGTTTCTTTTCCCTTTTTTCCTAAAGAACTTTTTACCATTAGTAGCTTAACTACCAAAGTAAGCTTTATAATTTTCATGTATGGGTTTTCCTACAATAATGCTTATAAATGTATTAAGCTCATATCCCTAAAATTGATTAGCTCTTTCATGAAAGTTTTCTACATCTTACAAACCTCTTAAATCAACATATATGTAAGTCCAGCCAGTGTAACAGAAAGAAAACCTACCAGCTTTTTGATTGTAACAAGAGCCTTCACTCTGACAGAAATATCCTACTTGTCATATAAAAGTAAACTAAGCACATTCCCAGCTGATACTAAGATGGTAAGTCACTCAAGTGCACTTTGGTAAGAGAGGAACACTGGTTTGGCACCCAGCAAAAGCCAAATAAATATTACCTTCTCTTCCTATACCAAAGAGAAGAAACAGAGAGGCCAGGTATTGATCCTAACACCAATTCCGGATTAGGTATTGTTAGGGTTATTACTACCTGATCACTTCTGAGCAATGCACTGGGCTCTTTGTAGAATCAGAATTTTAATCTGAAAGCAGACTGTAAAATCAACTAGTTTATCTTATGTTAGAGGTAATGAAACTGAAGCCTAGTTTTATTGGGTGTGATAGAAAATGTTTAACGGTTATGAGGTTAAAGTAAACACAACTTATGCAAACCCCCCTTGATAAAACGTGCTGGAAGGTAAATTTGTTTGAAAGGAGAGACTCCCCCCTGGCCCTCCACAATTGTGTGTGATAGGACATACTGTCAATCTGACAAACTTAACTTGGTAAATAAAGTAAAATGATTTATAATTTTGTGAAATGCAAAACACTGTTATCAAAGAAAAACTGGTGATAGTTACTCCTTAGAACAGCCTGGTAAAACTAATGAAAATGCAGATATATAAACAATTTTAAGATTTAAAATCCTTCACAGTTCCTTAACAATTATCTCTCATCCTCAATAATAACAACTGTAGATAACTGTATTAGCTCTTAGTGCAATCCCAGAAAAATCTCAGTTATTATTGCTGGAAAACATGATGGCACCTTGCTTATTGCAGGCGATTAAGAATGATGGTGTGTTCTTCAGACTCATACTGTCAATGAGGACTTGATACAGAAACTCTGCCACATCTTTCACCTCTCGCTGGAAGGCTGCACTGTCCACAACAAACACAACAGCCCTGGAGGGGGAGATAGAAAAACCAGCATGTAAGCATGCAGTAGTGCAGCATTACATTGAAAAGTTATATTCTTAATTTCATCCAATTCAATCCTAATGAATAACACACAGCAGACTCACATGCAAGTGTGCACACATGTAATCACACCATACAAATACTCACTTAACAAAGGACTACTGAGGAGATGCCAAGTGAAGTGTGTGCATTTTTGGTAACTGTGTACTTCTGGTGACTGTACAGTTTGAAATACTATTTTTTATCAAGTTTTACAAAAATGCAGAAACAACAACAAAAAAAACAGGACTACTAACTGTTACCGTATATCAATGACTGATCCAAAAAGACAAAAGGAAATCATGCCTGCCCTCAAAGACCAGGAAATCATCATATACAAAACTGTGTGATAAAATGCTAAAACAGACCTATGCACCTGTTATAACAGGAACAAACAGGAAGACCATTTACATGAGAACAGGTCAAGATGACTTTAAAGGAGGATGTCAACAACTGGGCTGAATTTTAGCCAGACAAAAAATTGGGACACAGACTGTCTGGAAAGCAGTATGTGCAGAGCACAAAGGAGTAGAACAGCATGGCCTAGGGAATTCAAGGTAGGCTGGTACACAGGGTAGAAATCAGGCTTAATGGAAGACAGATAAATCTAAGAGGGTAACCAAACTAGAAGCAGAGTGACCTGGTAGGGCCCAACCTAAGGCAGCAACAGTGAGAATCCTCATGTGCCACAAATAAAGAGGTATCAAAGCTAAAGCAAAGCAGTCCAGGAATAAGAGCAGATAACAGACTCTAGGGACGAGGGTTTGAATACTCAGGTGTGGCTGGAAATGAGCAATGGCCAACATGCAGTCGGGGAGCTGGAACTGAACCCCCTGTACGAAACTTACAACTTAAAAGCTATCTAGTGGAGCAGGGTGTGGGAAAATAATCCAAGAGGAACTGAAATACCAGGCCTCCTGTGCCACACAGATGGGGGGGGCGGGTAATGAATTTACACTCTTTTGTGGTGTAAGATGCAGAAAGATTTATATAAAAACGGGGCCAGACTCAATGAACTCCGAGGGTCCCCAACAGAAGGAAATATGAACCCATTCTGGAGAGAGGCTTTCATATCCTACAGCAGTAAAAAACAGCAACCACAACACCAAAATATTAAAAATACAATACCATTTATATTATCATCCCCCCAAAACTGAAACTTTGGTATAAATCTAATAAAATATGTACAAGATCTACATGAGGAAAACTACAAAACTGATCAACAGAATCAAAGTAGAACTAGATAAACAGAGATATCCCACAATCGGATAGGAAGACTAAACAGTTTCAAAATGTCAGTTCTTCCCAACTTGATCTATAGATTCTAATCAAAACCTCAGCAACTTATTCTGCAGATGCTGACAAACTGATTCTGTAGTTTATATGGAGAGACAAAGAACTCAGAATAGCCAACACAATACTGAAGAGCAAAGCTGGAGGACTGACACTGCCCAACTTACTATGAAGCTTTAGTAATCAAGATAGCATGGTCCTGATGAAAAAAGAGATCAGTAGAACAGAATAAAGTCCAGAAAGAGACCACTATGTATTTGGTCAAGTGATAAGTGATCTTTGACAAAGGACGAAAGGCAGTACAGATGGTCCCCAACTTACAATTCAACTTACAACTTTTTAACTTTACAATGGTGCAAAAGCAATACACATTCAATAGAAACCATACTTCAGATTTTAAATTTTAATCTTTTCCTGGGTTAGCAATATGCAGTACAATCTCGTGTGATACTGGGCAGCAGCAGTGAGCCACTGCTCCCAGTCAGGCACTGGGTCAGGAGGGTAAGCACCTAATATACAGAACCATTCTGGTTTTTACTTTTAGTATAGTATTCAACAAATTACACTGAGATATTCAACACTTTACTATAAAATAGACTTTGTGTTAGATGATTTTGCCCAACCGTAGGCTAACGTAAGTGTTTTGAACACATGTAAGGTAGGCTAGGCTAAGCTACAACATCTGGTAGGTGTATTAAAGGCATTTTCAACTTGAGATATTTTCAATTTACTATAGGTTTATCAGAATGTAACCTCATTGTTAAGTAAGATCTGTACAACAGAACAAAGATAATCTTTTCAAATGATGCTAGAACAAACATCCCCACATGCAAAAAAAAAAAAAATGAATATATACAATGAATAGATACAGACCATATCCTTTTCACAAGAATTAACTCAAAATGGATCACTTACCTAAATGTAAACCACAAAATCATAAACCTGAGAGAGAACACAGGAGAGTATCTAGATATTTTGGGTCTGGCAATGATTTTTTAGCTACAACGCTAAAGGCATAACCCATGGGAAAAAAATCTATAAACTGAACTTTATTAAAGATAAAAATTTCTGCTCTACAAAAGTCACCATCGAAAGAATGAAAAGATGAACCAAAGACTGGGAGGAAATATTTGCAAAAGATAAATCTGATAAAGAACTGTTATCCAAAATATACAAAGAACTCTTAAAACTCAACAATAAAAAACAACCCAATTAAAAAACGGGTCAAAGATCTTTACAGACACCTCGCCAAACAAGATCTATAGACAGCAAATAAGTATATGAAGAGATGATCCACATCCTATCAATGTCATCAGGGAAATGCAACTTAAAGAAGTTCGATATCACTATGTATGTACTAGAATGGCTGAAATCAAGAACACTGACAACACTAAATGCCTGTGAGGACGCAGAGCAACAGGAACCCTCATACATTGCTGGTGGGAATGCAAAATGGTACAGCCACTTTGGAAGACAGTTTGGCAATTTCTCACAAAACTAAACATACTCTTACCATATGATTCCTCAATTGCAGTTCTTGATATTCACCCAAAAACTTATGTCCACACAAAACCATGCACACAGATGTTTACAGCAGCTTTATTCAGAATTGCCAAAACTTGGAAGCAACCAAGAAGTCCTTAAGTAGGTGAACGGATAAACTGTGGTACATCCAGACAATGACATATTATCCAGCACTAAAAAGAAATGAGCTATTGAACAATGAAAAAAACATGGAAGTAACTTGAATATATATTAGTAAGTAAAAGAAGCCAATCTGAAAGGCTACCTACTGTATGATTCCAACTATATGACATTCTGAAAAAGGTAAAATATGGGGACTTAAAAAGATGAGTAGCTGTCAGGGGTTAGGGGACAGAAGGATGAATTAGCAGAACACAGAGGATTTTTAGGGCAGTGAAAATACTCTATGAAACTATAAATGGTGAATACATGTCATTATACATTTGTTCAAATCCGTAGAGTGTACAACACCAAGAGTGAATACTAATATAAAACACAGACTCAGAATGATTATGATGTGTCAGTGTTAAGAGGTTCATCAGTTGTAACAAATGAACCACTCTGGTGAAGGATGCTTAAAATAGGGAAGGCTATGCATGTGTGTGGAGTGGGGAGTAATACAGGAAATCTTTGGACCTGTTGCTCAATTTTGCTGTGAACCTAAAACTGCCCTAAAAAAGTCTATTTTTTAAAAAATTCACACAACAGATAGATTGCTCATCACCACCATCTTGTGGGCAAGGAAGCAACAACAAAATATAAGTCAAGATACCTTCAAAAATAAGGAAAGAAACAACTGCCTCATTCCATCAAACCTAAGGTTCCATCAATTAAAAGACACATTATTTCAAGTACAACTAAGAAAAGGAAAATGCTGCCAATTACAACACAAACAACCATAACTAGCATTCTAATTTCATAGATATTAAAATGCCTTAAAATCAATGAAATATGGTATTAAAAAATCATGAAATGTGGCATATTGATTTTCCTCTTAAGTTCTTATCAGTGTTAGAGACAAAACAAGAATCAAGCATCTTCAACTGAAGCACAAGAATTTTAAGAAGAGTAACACTAGGACAATAGTAAAAGACACATGAAAATAGTGTTCTGTACTTTTGAGGCACTAAATTTAGGTAATTTAAGAACATAAATATATAATGTTGGATTTAAATAGCTTCTAGGATTTCACCTAGCTTTCAAATTCCTTTTTTGGATTTTAATAGTTATACACGTTATTAAAATTTATCCTCAAAGTAAATGAAAAATTTACTAACATGGTGAAGGTGAACACTTTCTAAACACTCTTGAGAAACACTTTCAAACATTATCTCATATAATCCTCATAAAATCCTAGTAAAGGTGGGCTTGCAGAAATGGCTGTCCCCAAGGTCCATGCTCTTTCCCCCATAGAGGAGGGGGATACCACCAGAGCAAGTATGTGTGGCTTTGATATACAAATTCAGGCAAGTTCACTCCAAATCCTACTTACCTGGCTGAAGCCTTAAAACGCTCTAAGAACTGAAGTCTCAAGCTCTCATGGCCAGGGAGATCAATCAAGGTCAGGCTAGTGGCCTAAGGATAGCAGCAATAACATTAAATGACGTTTTGGTCTTGATTCACATTCACAACATAAACTTCTCATACGAGATTTCAGGTACCATAACGGTGTCCATTTTATTAATGAATCAAAAAAATGTGCACCATAATTAATTAAAGAACCAAACAAATGTTCACAAAGCCTCTTCTATTTATAAATCATGAGTAGAGGCTCCAGGGATTTAACAGTGAGCACAAACAGACATAATCCCTGTTCCAACAGGGTTTATAATATAATCAGAAAGATCAACACAATGTAAAATTACAAATAAATGTAAAGTTACAACTTTGATAAATGTTCCAAGTGTACGTGAGAAACTGACCCTGTTTGGGGGAGTCAGGAAAGTGCAGTCCACCTGAGGCTGGGGAAATACATTAGTATGAATAAAAACAAAAACATGTGAAAATAGTAGTAAATATTCACAAACTAAATAATGTAACAGGAGACCTACACTTTATCATATAGCATGTTACCATTACAGGGATCCCCAATCTCTGTAACAACAAAACATCCCTTTACGTGTCCACTGTAATTTAATTTTTAAACATCTGCCGACTAGACCCACCGTTTATTTGTTCCAACTGCCAATATTTTATGTCAATCACTGAAACAGGGAGGTATTGTGCCCATACTGAGCTGACTCATTAAACACTCCCTTAAGAGCTATTCACTCCAGGCTTCCTTCTTGAGCTCAGGTTCAATGTGGATGTGGCTATGCTCAGTAAGACTCTCGGGTATAATCCTGGTACACTTTTCAGGTCCATGAACATTTCTCAGATGTTCTACCTTATCCATAGCCAGCCTTAACGACTGTTCAGCAGGAGGGAGTCAGGATCATGCACAGATCTAACATAATTACAGTCGAATTCATTATGACCTGTTACTTATTCTGTGCAGTCTTTAATGGGTAAGAATATGATGTATGCTAGCTTAAAAAAAAAATACTGGTAAGAGTCTCGGGATCTCAGGTTAGGACCCATTACCACATTTCATAATTAGCACTACACCACTCTAAGCAATTCAGAAAGACACATTACTAGATACATTATTAACTTGAGAGAGAGAGAGAGACTACATCTAAAACATGTGAGGGTGGGGGGGTGGGAGGAGTAAAAAAAGAAGGGAGGAATGTTCTACATTTTCTTTTTCTTTTTTTTCTTTTTTCTTTTTTTTTAGAGAGAGCACGCATGAGCAGGCAGGGGGTGGGGGCTGAGGGAAAGGTAGAGATAATCTCAAGCAGGTTCCATGCCTAGCACAGAGCCCTATGCAGGGCTCGATCTCATAACCCTGAGATCATGACCTCAACTGAAATCAAGAGTCAGCTGCTTAACTGACTGAGCCACCCAGGTGCCCCTACATTTTCAATAAAAATATGCAAGTCTCATATGTAACGTTAAGTTTTCCAAAAGCCATATTAAAAAAGTAAAAAGATAAAAATTAATTTAATAATATATATTTAACCCAACATATCTATCTTTTTAACAAGTAAAAAAATCAAGAAATCGTTGATATTTTACTTTTTTTTTTAAAGACTTTATTTATTTATTTGACAGAGAGAGACACAGCAAGAGAGGGAACACAAGCAGGGGGAGTGGGAGAGGGAGAAGCAGGCTTCCCACTGAGCAGGGAGCCCGATGCGGGGCTCGATCCCAGGATCCTGGGATCATGACCTGAGCCGAAGGCAGACGCTTAAGGACTGAGCCACCCAGGCGCCCCGATGTTTTACTTTTCATTCCAAGTTCAAAATCTGGTGTATACTTTACACTTAGAGCACCCCTCAATTTGGACTAGTCACATTTCAGGTGCTCAATAGTCACACATAGCCAACGGCTATTCCATTGGAAAGTACAGGTCTAAAGTATACCCTGGAATATCCCACTTAAAAAATCTGGCACAAGTCCCCCAAGAATTAAAGCTCTCCCAAACCTGAACTTTCAAAATCTAAAATTTTGGGAATTTAAAAAGGACTGGGCTAGAAAGAGTACCATTATTGAAAAAAGCAAAAAATATCTGTAAGACATTTAGAAGAATGTCTCTTTATCTTTGTTTATAATGTTTAATTCTGGAGGAACCAGAAAAGGGGGCTGGGGGCAAACAAAAGGAGAAAAGGTCTCTAGGATAACCATTCTCATTCATCCATCTATACATCTACCCCTCCAACCATCCCCCCAGCCTTTCTTCTACTCACCAAATACTTATTATTCATTGCAATCAACTTGGCAGTCACTATCCACATTCTGGAGCTACATAGGTACATAAAAAGTCCTTCTCATGATTCCTTACTGTTCCTTACTGGTATTTTTGAAATATACTCATGTATACTCTTTAACATGTCCAATGTAACACTGTAAAAGCAAAAGATTATACCAACAAACTAAATGTGTGTTAATAGAGCTCTTATTAAATAAGAACTTAATTGAATGGTACAGCTACATAATGGAATACTATGTAGCTCACAAATCAACCAGGTAGTACTATGTGTACAAATGAGGGAGAAAAACAAAACAACCCAACTGTATCAGTCACACTGTTAAAAAAACAAAACAAAACATGGTGCACCTGGGTGGCTCAGTGGATTGAGCACCCAACTCTTGGTTTTAGCTCAGGTCCTGATCTCAGGGTCCTGGGATCCAGCCCCAGGTCGGGCTCCATGCTCAGGAGGAAGTCTGCTGGAGATTCTCTCCACCCCCCTCCTGCTGCATGGGTACTCTCTCTCTCTCTCTCAAATAAATAAATAAATCTTTAAAACAAACAAACGGGTGCCTGGGTGGCTCAGTCGTTAAGCGTCTGCCTTC